ATTTTGATGATTTTAGCGACATTATTCACCGGAATTGTTTCCAATTTGGTATTTGAAGTTCGTAATGGATAATACAGCCTAAGATAGAAAATTATCTGTGCAAGTCCATGTCTTCGTATAGCCCCCATATAACGGTACCCCCGATATTCGGTATTTTGATGATTTTAGCGACATTGTTTAGCGGAATCGTTTCAAAGTTGGCATTTGAATTTCGTAATGAATACTACAGCCTAAGACAGAAAATAATCTATGTAGGTCCACGTCTTCGTATAGCCCCTATATAATGGTACCCCCCGATATTCGGTATTTTGATGATTTTAGCGACATTATTTAACGGAATCGTTCCAAATTTGGTATTTGAAGTTCGTAATGGATTCGTAATTTTAAGTCAAAAAATGAGCCATGTAGGTCCACGTCCTCATATAGCCCCCATATAATGGTACCCCCAGATATTCGGTATTTTGATGATTTTAACGACATTATTTACCAGAATCGTTTCAAATTTAATATTTGAAGTTCGTAATGGATACTACATCCTAAGTCAGAAAATGAGCCATGTAGGTCCACGTCTTCATATTGCCCCGATATAACGGTACCCTCCGATATTCGGTATTTTGACATTATTCACCTGAATTGTTTCACGTTACGTATTTAGAGCTCGTAATGGGAACTACAGTCTGTGACAGAAAATATCTATGCAGTTCTAGGTCTTCGTATAGGCCCCGTATATCAGTACCTCCCTATATTCGGCATTTTTGATACCCACCGAAATTGTTTGAGATGTCGTATTTGAAGTTCGTAATGGATGATACAGCCTGTGACAGAAAATTGTCTATGCTGTTACAGGTCTTTTCACAGCTCCGATACAACGGTACCTCCCTATATACGATATTCGGTATTTTGATTATTTTAGCTACATTATTTAACGGAATCGTTCCAAATTTGGTATTTGAAGTTCGTAATAGATACTGCAGCATAAAGCAGAAAATGGGCCATTTAGGTCCACGTCTTCGTATAGCCCCCATATACCGTACCCCAGCAAAATCGACCCCAATACATCAAAGCCGTTGAAAGTTTATCCTTGTGTGTGGTTTGATCCCCGATATGAATCATTTCTGTAACCAATACAAATCCATTCCAGTGAGAACAAGAGGGAGGACCCAATATTTGCAATCTGTTGAAGATAGTTCCAAATTGGACGGTTCGTATGAATGTATTTTGTGTGCCTCTTTCCCATAATACTTGTGGAATATCGAGTATTACTTGGGCCTGCTGTGTTCATGCAGGCCTAACTCTGGATCATTTATTGTCTCATTTTTCTGTAAGAAATCGATTACTCTAAAAATTAACATCCACTTACGATTTGTGCAGTGCAGTTAATTTCAGTTGTTTTTTAAACAATTTCACAAACAACAGCTACTACAGGATAACCATCAGGTGTAAAAGGATTTGTTTTGATATCATTCAGTCAAAATCTTAAAATCTCTTTTAATCCCGCTGGCCATTATAACAAGTCGTACTCATACGTTTCCGTAACTTTAATTTCGTCGAATGACAAAACACATATTTTAGGCATATCTAACGAAATATAATTTACTTGGCGCATGATTTCAAGAGGTGACAGTAAGAATCCTTCTTTTACACAAATTTTATTGCAGCAGCGATGTAGCGTTGAGATGCTGTGCAGCGGATATCCTCTGTTCTATAAATGCCTGTATACTCTCTGGCCAGCCGTGTGCAAACAAACAGCGCTGGAAATCTCATTCCACTCCATTATGCCACATTATTTTTTTTCATTTGACCATCAGTAAAAATATTTTTCAAAGAATCAAGGCCCTGGCTAGCTTGCAAAAGCTCTTAATTTAACTCCTTATTCCGGTTTCGCAGTCCCTTAACCAATTCTACGTATTTGTCCATTACAGCTGCGAAAGTTATGGGACTGTAAATATTTATGATAACTTTAAAATTATCCTGAATTTATTTACATTTATTGCATATTACCCGGTCTGTGCTTCCTAGTCTTTTTACTTTATGGTCGAATTTTCTTGAGGGATATTCCTGTGTATATTGAAAAATCGGAGCTCTTTTTTAAAAATATAAATAACCCAATATTGTGTTCAAGAATTGGAATAACATAATGTCATAATCCCTCACCTCAAATTCGAAGCATTACTTATGTCCTTCAGTGGAATTCTGGGACAGCATTGACAATAATCTATTCTGGATTTAACATATGCGATTCGAACACTCGAATTTGACAAAGAGCACTCCATTTTGCCCCTATCCTTGCGGACGGCAAAAAATGATTTCTTCCCTGGCACCTCTTTTTTTGTATATCTTGCTTCCTCTGTAATTTCTGTATTTCGAATCGGTTACTGTATACCCACAGCCATATGGCTAGTTATACCCTTAGCAATATGGCTAGTTATACCCTCAGCCATACAGAGGGTATATATCATTTGATACGGTCAAAACGTGCCTAGTCGAAATAACAGTTTTAAACCCTAGGTCTCTTTGAACCAAATCCGTTTCAGGACATTTGGAGTCGGTCTAGCGATGTCCGTCCGTCTCTCGAAGGGAGTATCCGATTTGGTCCAAACTTGGTACATCGTAATATTTTTGTCGGACTTATATCGAGTTCGGAGATTGACAATATCGGTACACTCCTTATAGTACCTCCCCCACAAACATTTTCAAAAAATATATTTTTTGCACAGAAAGAGAAACGATAACCCGATTTTGTTTCAATTTTACAAATCCTAATATTTACGTCAGTGCTAGGTCAGGTGCGAAAATGGACAATATCGGTCTACTCCATCAAGTTTTGAATAATTACAATTCTTATAAAATGTGATGTAAGAGCCCGATTGTCTTCATACTTTCACTCATCCCAATATTTTTTATTAACCAATGATCTGGTGTTAAAATGGAATATATCGGCCCACACATTCTAGTACCTCCCCCACAAATTATCGAAATTTTGAATATCCATTAAGCTCATAAAACGCGAAATTAACATCCGATTCCACTTACACTTGGCATGTCTGAGTATTTCTATTAACACAGGATCTGTTATAAAGAAGGTAGAGATCGGCCCATTCCTTCTGGTACCTCCCCATATAGGGTTCAATATTTTAAAAAATAAATCGCTAAGGAAAGAAGAGAAATAAGTATTCAACTCTCTTCAGATTTCACACATACAAACATTTTTGTTAACACAAGATCTGTTGTGAAGTTGATGTATATCTGCGAACCCGTCTGGTACCTCACCCACAAAGGGTCACAATTTTTAATTATTTTATCTGTCATTACTTGCGAAACAATTTAGCGATTCTTTACAACTTGTTATGCCTAAATATTACCTTAACAAGAAACCTGATATTAATATGAAATTTAGCGGAATTTATGATTTCGCGTAAAATTGGATATAAATATTCGATTTTCTTCTTTTCCCAATATTTTTATTTGTATTAGATGAAGTATAACCAGTAAAGAAAGTCCTAAAGTCGGGTGGGCCGATTTTATGATACCCTACACCACTTTGCTAATTTAGTTGAGCTCCACTTAATAATTAAAAGTTTTTATGGGAGAATTCAATCATACACGCTATGATTATAATTATAATTTAAAATTCAAAGGACTAAATATGCCGAAGCATGTGTATCTTTTAAATTCGGACTTGTATTGCCCATTTGGTGCGAAATTAATTTGAAATCGGACAAAAATATATATGGGAACTATATCCAAATCTGAACCGATCTCGATAAAATTTGGCAAAGATATTTCTGAGCTGTATTTGATATATTTCCCTGAATATCGTTGTTGCGGAGTGCATATTACGGCTGTGGGTAACAAATACAATAAATCGGATGAACAATATATATGGGAGCTATAACTATATCTGAACCGATCTTCACCAAATACTACCTTCTAGACTAAATTCGGTCGTATGTGCCAAATTTCATCCCATTTGGACAAATATTAGACGTTTGGTGCACAATAAATGGTAAATCGGACGAAGTTATATGGGAGCTATATCCAAATCTGAACCGATCTCGATAAAATTTAGCAAAGGTATTTCTGAGCTGCATTTGATATATTTCCCCAAATATTGTTGTTACAGAGTGCATATTACGGCTGCGGAGGACAAAAATAACAAATCGGATGAACAATATATATGGGAGCTATAGCTATATCTGAACCGATTTCGATAAAATTTGGCATACTTTTTTTTCAGGCCTAATTTGGTGGTATGTGCAAAATTCCATACTATTCGGGCTGATATTACACGTTTGGTGCACAATAAAAGGCAAATCTGACGAAGATATATATGGGAGCTATATCTAAATTTTTACCGATTATCTCCAATTTCAATAGGGTTCGTCCTTGGGCCAAACAAATGCAAATTTCATCTCAATCGGATAATAAATGCGACCTGCAGTTTGTTCACAAGAATACATGGACAGACGGACGGACGGACTGACATGCATAAATCAACTCAGAAAGTGATTCTATGCAGATCATCAAAAGGAACTATGGGTCTATCTCGTTTCCTTTTGCCTGATACAAACAAATGCACAAAGACCTAATACCCTGACCACCTTGTGGTGTAGGGTATAAAAATGGAATACTTAGGTAGACTATATCTGGTACCTCATGCACAGTTTAACATTTTTTAAAACTTATCACATATCTCATATAAAGTGAAGGAAGAAGTGGATATAATCCATACCAGGTACGTCACAATATTTATATCATATTAATCATAACACAAGTCATATTTAAATAATCGAACATAGGCTGAGGGTATACATCTATCGGCAAAACTGACTGATACTTTTTAACTTGTTTTATCTTTAAATGACCAAACACAGCGAATGTACATAACTTTGCCATCTAGATTGCATTATTTGAAACACTCTTGATGCGTTTTAAGGTACTGTATTTCTAGGATTAAAATTGAAAATATATATTCTATTTTCCACATTTGCATATTAAAGTTAAAATTTCTCGTATATTAATCCCACTTGCATAATCGCTTCCGGATCAATTCGCTCTTCATTCCTCAGATTACAATAAAGGTTGTATATCAATACGAATTTCACACTTTCAATAACTGAAAGATAACAGAATGACACGTGCATGTAATGTCAAATATATGTTTGCCAGACTATTACAAACTTAACTGACTACCTACCTATATTGATCGCACATACAAGACGCAGCGTTTCAGCTTTCCCAGACCACAGAAATGTTGCAGTAATGCCACATAGATAGGCAACAATTTTCATCAATATTACCACCAAAAAAGGGATCATTAGCATCGGTCTATTCTAAAGGAGTTAAAATAAATAATGAGTGAGCAAGGAAAAAAAAACCGCTCAAATGAAACCCGTTGTATGGGGGCTATGCGAAGACGTGGTCCTGTATAAATACTTTGTGTCATAGGCTGTAGTAACGATTCAGAACTTTATATACGAAATTTGAAATAATAACGTTATATGCGGGATATTCGATATCGTGATAATTCTCTTCCAGGTTATAAAGTACTCACAAAGAACTCCTTGTGTAGAATATCAGACAATTCCATTGAAAAATTGTGGCTAAAATAATCAAAATACCGAATATTGGGAGGTACCGTTATATGGGGCTATACGATATCGTGGACCGATATAGACAATGTTCTTCAACGAGAAAAAGTATTCAAAAGCAACTCCCTGTGTGGATTTTTAGACAATTTCATCGAAAAATTTGGCTAATATAATTAAAATACCGAATATCGGGGGTACTGTTACATGGGGGCTACATGACATCGTGTACCGATATAACCCATTTTCGAACCTCCATGCAGACAAAAGGCTAATCTGTGCAAAATTTTAACTTTCCATTTTAATTCGTTTTTACTCTAGTGTGATTCCAACAGACGGACAGACGTCTTTGAATTTGCGCAGACCAAGAATGAGAATCAGTCAGAATTAAGAATGAGTTACAAAAAGAATGACGAACTTAATATACATACATAGTCTGGTGGAGGCTATAAAAATGATATTTTGCGGAAAGACGGATCGGAATGGGTCTTATGTTATGTCTACACTTATGTTGAATATACTTGAAAACCCGGACCAACATTACTTATTATCTTCCGTCATTGCCAACTTTAATACTATCTTAAAATTTCCCAAAAAAAAAAAAAAAACTTTAAAAATACCGAGTAATACACATTCAGGAATGTCTTATTTCTGATATAACATATTTTTTTTACTTACATTTTGCATACCTTTTATAAGAAACCCAGCAACAGCGACCATAATAGCACAATATAAAATTATGATTAAAAACGCAATTGCAATAGCAACTGAAATGATACAGAATAGAATTTAAGAACATACTTGGCAAATTATCGTTATGAAGGTTGTGTAAAAAATCTATAGTAGGTCTCCAAAGAGAATCATAACAAAATATCCAAACCATATAGTGGCTAGAATCTTAAAGAATTCTCGAGTAATATATGCCTTGTTTTTTTAATTATAACAATTAAAAAAGCTGTAAGTTCGGCCGGGCCGAACATTGAATACCCTCCCATTTGGTACAAATTTGTCAATTTTCAAACAAATAAAATCCGTTAAAAATTCTGCTAAAATCTTAAAAATACCGAAACTAGAGGTGTATTACGTACGACTTCGTGGACCTGCAAAGGCAACTTTTGTCATAAGCTATAACAATATTCAAATGCGAAACTTAAAAAAAATTGTTCATAATGTAGCTGAAATCATCAAAATACCGAATATAGGGAGGTACCATGGGGGTTATAAGACGCGGACCTACACACACAATTTTCTGTCATAGGCTGTAGTATCCATTACGAACTTCAAATACCAATTTTGTAACATTTCCGGTAAATAATGTCGCTAAAAGCATCAAAATACCGAATATCGGGAGGTACCGTTATATGGGTGCTATACGAAGACGTGGACCTGCACAGACAATCTTCTGTCATAGGCTGTAGTATCCATTACGAACTTCTAATACTAAATTTGAAACAATTCCGGTAAACAATGTCGCTAAAATCATCAAAATACCGAATATCGGGAGGTACCGTTATATACGAAGCAAGGACCTACATGGCCCATTTTCAATACCCAAAGTCCCGCAGACATAATACACATTTGAGTAAATGTTTATCAACTTACTTCATTTCGTTCGGAAGCTAGAGTGATTTCCACAGACGGATAGACGAACAGACGGATAGACGGACAGACGGATAGACGGACGGACATTGCTAAATCGGCATAGAATTTTATGCTGATCAAGAATATACTTTGTGGGGTCTAAAATGTCTATTTGGAGGTGTTACCAACGGAATGACAAACTTAATATACCCTCTATACTATGGTGGAGGGAATAAAAGCATGCAGAAAAAGTTCATTAGCCTCTCTCCACACCAAAAGTCAAGAGGACCTCTTTATTAGAATTGCTACCTTATTTACAGGCTCTTTATCACTTATTTTGACTTACCTGTACTACTATCATCGATAATTTGATTTCCTCCATTAGCTGCACCGATCGCCATAAACAGTAAACTTATTACAATAGTGGCGCCTCCGGAATATACATCCCAGTATCCAATAAAATAACCAGCATTTACTTGAATCCCCATTTGTATTTTTTGTTAATATTTCAAATATGTTTTGCAATGTTTTCAGTTAGAAGTGTGGTCCCCTAATGGCATCACAACACTCAAACGAAAAATATTTTGTTTATTATTTTTAAAACAGCCTTTATCATCGCTGAAATCAGTAGCTTAATTTGAAAACTGGCAAAGAAATGAAATCAGAAAAAAAAGTTTGTGATAAGTTCCTCTTGGCTGAACATATGCGAAATGTGCTCTTATCATCCTCTGGATGTTTCCAATCTAAGAAAACCTTCAAATTTCTTAGGCATTCAAATTGTATTATTATTATTACTATTAGAATTAATTCTTTTTATTGTTAGAATTACAAGTTGCACCAAAAATAATTACATTTATACACCCTCTGTTTTGTTAGTAAACTAAGAAATAATGTGTCATTCCTATAAAATTTACAAGGCAAATTTACTTACTTTTCTCATACCAAGTAATGAGTTAGTCCTACAGAACGGGTTTGAATATCCGTGCCAAAAATACATACATAGAAGCGAGAGAATACGAAAAGGTTGCCGACATACAAGTCGTTAAACAACAATTAATTTTTGTAACAGTCGATTAATAAGTACTTGTTTATCGACTGTTGGCACTTAAAGTCATTAAATAAATGATTATTTATTCGACGTTTAGTGGCCTCTTTGTGGAGTATTCCCACGTTAAAATAATGGGTTGGTAGGTCGAATAAAAGAACAGTATTTTCAATGATGAGTGGTTGCAGATACTAAAATCACTTATTATACCACACCCTAGTGGTACGGATTTTATGTCTTTGTGCATTTGTTTGTAACATAGAGAAGGAAGCAAGATAAAACCAAAGTTACTTTTGAGGATCTTCAAAAATTCACTTTCTGAGTCGATTTATACATGTCAGTCCGTCCATCTGTTCATGTATTTTTGTGAACAAAATGCACGTCGCATTTATTATCCGATTGAGATGAAATTTTCCAAAAAATATTTGTTTGGCCCAAGGACGAACCCTTTTGAAATTGGTGAGAATCAGTTCAAATTTAGATATAGCTCCCATACATATCTTCAACCGATTTCGGCTTAATTGTGCACCAAATAGCCAATATCAGTCCGAATGACCTGAATTTTGACACAGCCGACCGAATTCAGTCTAGAAGGAAGTATATAAAAAGAAAATCGGTTCAGATATAACTATAGCTCCCATGCATATTTTTCATCCGATTTGGGGTTGTAAGTCCCTCACATGCGTAATATGCATTCCACAAGAATGTTTTTTTGCTACAAGATACAGCTCCGAAATAAGTGTTTCAAATTTTGTTCAGATCGGTTCAGATTTGGATATAGCTACCATATATATCTTTATCAGATATTAGGATCAAATGGTTAATACAACACACATTGAGTAAATTTTGGCACTTCCTACGGAATTTAGCTCAGACTTCAAATTTTGGTGAAAATCGGATTTGGCATTAAAGTTCCTCACATGCGTAATATTCACTCCACAACAATAATATTTGATATCGGACATCAGATACCACACGAAAATACCTCTGCCAAATTTTATCGAAATCGGTTTAGATTTTTATATAGATTCGATGTACATATACATCCGATTTTACGGTTATAGTTTACCATATATGTAATATCAGCCTAAATTTCACATCCAAAGGAGGGTATGTTAACTTTGTCATTCCGTTTGTAACATCGATAAATATTCGTCCTAGACCCCATAAAGTATGAATATGATCAGCATAAAATTCTAAGTCGATTTAACGATGTCCGTCCGTCTGTAGAAATTACGTGAGTATGAAAAATAAGATATATCAGTCCATGTTTTGGTATAGTCGTATAATGGTACCTTCCGATATACGGTATTTTGATGATATTTGCCACATATTTCCATGGATTTGTCAATAAATTGGTATTTGTTGGTCATAATTGGTTCGGCGCTGGTGGCGAAACATTGTATGAATAGGTCCACGTTTTTGTATAGCCCCCATATAATGGTACCTCCCGATATTCGGTATTTTGATGATTTTTGTAGCATTTTTTACAGATTTGTCAAAAAAATGGAATGTGTCTTCGGAGTGGATTCTAGCGCCTGTGACGGAACATAGTCTGTATAGGTCCACGTTTTCGTATAGCGCACATATAACGATACCCACCGATATTCGGTATTTTGAGTCACACTTACCCACAAAATACCTTCAAATTTGGTATTTAAGAAGATTTGGTAGGTGAAAATCTTTGAAGTATAAAATTGTTTGTGAAGGTTCTCTTTTGGTATGGCCTCATATAACGACTTCATTCACTTTAATGTTTTTTGAAAAGTTCAACAGCATTATCCGAACGGTTTTACTGTATTTGTAGTTTAAAGTGGAACACGTTTGAATTTAGATACTTTTATATAAAAATGTTTTCTTTACCCAATGGTGGAGGGCATTAAAAGTTCGGCCGGCCGGATTTAATGTGTTTTACTTGTTAAAATTATAAATTTCCGAATTCCTGCTTATAGGTTTACATCACATGGCTCCAAACAACACATGTATCCCAAAAAAGCACAGATTAAACTCGGAAGTGAAATTTACTCGCTAGCAGGGGGGGCTCGAAGGTTGGGTATTTTATGTGGAGTTTAATTTTCTCTCTTTTGTTTTTTGTAGGAGCGCTCCCGATTCACTCCCGCTAAGTGACTTTCGAAATATTTTTGCTCAGGGTAATCTTCTATATCTATAAAAGAGGAAAATGTTTGTATGTTTGTTTGTTTGTAATTTATGGACTCGAAAACGGCTGAATAGATTTTCCTGAAAGTTTCCATATATACTGCAACGTCGCCTGAAATAACACAGGCTTTATACATTTTTGAATTTCCACTTGGAACTGGAGATATAGCATCAGAATCGGAGGTAATTCCCAAAAATTTAGATTTTATATGCACATATCTATTGATCGGTTAAAGATACAGTCTCCAAATTTGGAATGCGTAACGGAATTCGGAACAAAAATAAGTTTGCCAAATTATATTGTAATCAGTTCAGATTTGGATATAGCTCCCATATATATTTTCGACCGATTTCGTTCATTTGATGTCTCAAACACAATATGAATGTTTGATTCCAATGAAATTTGGAATGTGTGACGGGATTTGATCCGAAAATAAATTTGTCAAATTATATTGAAATCGGTTTTGGATATAGCTCCCATATATATTTTCGGCCGATTCCAAGCATTTGATGCACCAAACACGCTATGTATCCCCAATTTCATGAAATTTGAAATAAGTAACGGAATTTGGAGCCAAAATGAATTTGTCAAATTAAATTGAAATCGGTTCAGATTTGGATATAGCTCCCATATATATTTTCGACCGATTTCATGTATTTGATGCACCAAACACGCTATGTATCTCTAATTTCAATGAAATTTTGAATGTGTAGCGGAAATTAAAACAAATATACATTTGTCAAATTATATTAAAATCGGTTCAAATTTGGATATTGCTCTCATATATATTTTCGACCGATTTCATGTATTTTATGCACCATACACGATATGTATGTTCGATTCCAAAGAAATTTGGAATATGTAACGGGATTTTGATTAGAAAATAAATTAGTCAAATTATATTAAAATCGGTTTAGATTTGGATATAGCTCCCACATATATTTTCCGCCGATTTCACATATTTGATGCACAAAATACGATACATATTTCCAATTCCAATGAAATTCGGCATGAGTGGCTAAATTTGGTACAAAAATAAATGTGACAAATTATATTCAAATACGCTCAGATTTGATTATAGCTCCCATATATATACTCAGCCGATTTCACATATTTGATGCACCCAAAGCGAGAGAGACGAAATCTGGCACCAGAAAAAATTGCCAAGTTATATTGAAATCAGTTGAGGTTTGGGTATAGCTAACATATATATTTCGGCCGATTTCATACATGTTATGCACCAAACATGATATATATGACCGATACCAATGAAATTCAGAATGTGAGAAGCGCACCGGGTTCAGCTAGTACATAATAAACTACGATGAGTTGTTGATGTCGATTTAAGCTTTCAAACAATTTTTTATGTTCGTGTCCGTGGCCCAGTGTCTTCAACTCAAAACATAACTTTCGGATGACATTCCTTTTGTAAACGAAATGGGTTTTGTAGGTTGAGTTAAGATTAGAAAACCCATAATTATGTTTTCTCAAAGAATATATCGATGAAGTAAAAGCTCGTTCTTCGGCGATCCATCCGAAATAGATATCCTATAAAGGCTATGGCTAGAAATAAGATAGAGACATCCTCATTACGTACATATGAATGTATATTGATTCTTATTATAATTAATTTTAAGTGAAATAGCGACAAAACGCTTTCTTATGTTGAACATCTGTGGTCAACCGCAAAAAAGTATGGGTCATAAGCTGGATCTGAAAATAGCGACCAAGATATTAATGCCCACATATAATTACATCAGTTGCAAGAGAAATAGCGCTGTGATCAAATCGACAATAGTTTACGATAGAGTAACGTAGTAAAATCAATCATGGGCCTGAGAAAGATATTTACACGGCCAGTTTTTGGTTTATTTGTGACATTTGTTCACATTACAGCCTGTGTTTTATCGGTGGCCTATTTGGTGGGGTGCATCACTCACACCGTTGATGGCGATGAGACACACAAAAAATCCGTCCAGAATTATGTTGTAATTCTGTCTGGTTATATCATCGTTTGTTTCGTACAAGTAACTATGTGTCTTATTTTAATTGTGGGAATCTTAAGGGTAAGTTTAAAAATTATTTTGATGTGATTTAAGTTATATTGACTTTTTTTTCCAGAAAAATCACCATTTAATGGCCCCCTGGATTGCCACAACGTTTATCAGTTTGGTAGCGGTGTTTTTCTACACTCTGGCCATGGTGTGTTTCAGTTTCCTCAATGAATTCTCAACGAAAGATAATCCCAAGAAACTCTCCAGAAAAGAACATTTCGATCGAATTATACCGGGTCTGGGATATTTTTGTAAGTAGCAACTTCAATAAAAAGATAGGATTGTATTATTAGGGTAATAGTCTAGCTCAGTTGTTGCTGGATAAGTAATTGTTTTTGAAGGTTGTTGTAACGATTCCGAACTTGAAATACGAAATTCGAAACAAATTCCGGCGAATAATGCCACTGATATCATCAAAATACCGAATATCGAGAGGTACCGTTGTATGGGGGCTATACTAAGACATGGATCTGCAAAGACAATTTTCCGTCATAGGTTGTAGTGCCCATTACGTACTTCAAATACGACATTTGACGCAATTCCGATATTTCGTATTTTTATGATATTAGCGACATAATTCACCGGAGATGTTTCAAATTTCGTATATAGACAGAAAACTGTCTATGCAGGTCTAGGTCTTTGTATAGCCCCCATATATCGGTATCTCTCTATACGCGGTATTTCCGATGATTTTATTTACATTGTTCACCGAATTTTTCCAAGTTTCGTAGTTGAATATTGTAAAGGTTGCCTATGCAGATCCACGTGGTCATATAGACTTCAAAATAACGGCTACAGGGTGAGATGAAAAAACTGCAACCAACTTCAGACTGCTGTCATTTCTAAGCCACTCGTCCGATAGCTGTTAAAATTATTCCAGTGGCAGCTCATTATATTCTTTACAAACGTGCAAAATCATTTTGGTGAGAATTTTCCAGAGAAAAAAGTTATTCGTGATGGAATTCAAGCACGATAGTGTGATTTTTTTATATTTGGCTGGCAGACTACAATTTGCTATCGTTAGAGCACTTCAGCTTTTAAATGTGAATAAATCTTTTGTGTCTGGTACCATCGCTCGTTACCATGATACTGGCAGCGTAGGCCGACGTCAAGGAAGTGGACGGAAGAAAACAGCAACATCCGCAGAAATGGTTCGAAAGGTAAATAAGCGACTTGATCGAAGCCTACGAAAAATGGCTCGTGAGCTGAACATATCGCATATTGAAAAATGAGCTCGGGGTAAAGCCATTGAAATTCCGAAAAGTGCAAGAATTTACACCACAAAAGAAAGAAAATAGACTCAACCGAAAGTGGTGAACTGTCGAATTTGGTTTTCTCCGACGAGAAAACATTCGTTGTCCAGCAGTTTGTAATCAAACAAAATAATCGTGTTTACTTGTCAAAGAGGTCGGCTGAAAATGTGCACCTTCGGTTGGCCACCAGAACTCAAGCTCCGACCATGGTGATGGTATGGGCCGCCATAACAGCCGATGGTCGCACTCCGCTTTTATTAATCGACCGTGGCATCAGAATAAATGCCGAATATTATAGCGAAAATATTCTGGAGTCGCACTCTGCACGCGCCACCCAAGGATGGTTACAAGCAAGCACTTCGCCGGGAATGTGCGAAAATACCGCTGAACAAGATTCAGGCAGCGTGTGACGGCTCCATTGGCCGTTGGAAGACCATAATTCGGGCCAAAGGGGACAAATTCAAACACATCTAAACTTAATCTAAAATTTGATGCAATTTCCGACATTTTTGCTTTCATTCGATAAAATTTAAAAAAAAATAATGACGTTGTTGAAGTTTTTTTTTATCACACCCTGTATAACTGGCCCTTCTGAACTCCGCCGAAATATTAAATTGCTGCTGATTTCATTGGAAACTGTATCTGTGGCTGGAAACTTTAAAGCAAGACATATCTAAAATCTTGCGTAGCTTAAATTTTGAAATCCATAATCTGGTCTATACACTTACACATACGTTCGCTAAAACTGTGCAGCTATTCATCCGAATTTTCAGATCGAAGAAAACTCTGCATTAATTTTAGTTTTCTTTTAGATTTTTTGATCACCAATAATATTAAAAACTAAATAGAAATGATGGAGAAAGTGTAAATTTTTTAAGAAACAGCTTTTAATTGAATTTTAAATAAATTATTAAATTTTCTCTCTATAATTTGAGCTATCTATGTAACTTGTCCATAACGACTTTTTTAATATTGATTCTGTATCTATTTTCTATTGTCTCTTTACAGTGATTCACGTTTGCCTATTCTATCCCATCTATGTCCTATACAAAAGTATTTTGATTTTCCGTCTCAAAAAGGAGGGTTTATATGAAGATTCAATCGAATCTGAGGGATGCGATGAACTGGCCGATTCTGTAGAAATTCATTAGCATAGAATATGGAATATTGTATTGAATGTGATATTGTTATAGATGTATATATATAGACTGTTTAAAAATCTACTAAAACCCACTCGACGCGGAGACATGTGCCTTCGATTTTTATAACCGACACCACAGAGTATTTTGTCTTTGAGCTTTTTTTTGTAATATGCCAAATGAATAAAGATAGTTCCTTCTGATGATCTTCGTAGAATCACATTCTGAATCGTTTTAAGCATGTCTGTCAGTCTGTCTGCCCATTTATTTTTGTTAACAAAACACAGGTCGCATTTATTGCGATTTCACTTTAAGTCCTCTATATGCGAAATGTTCCTTTCAAAACAATGATATTTGGTACAAGAAATAAACCTTTGACTTTTTTTTGGATATAGCTCCCATATAGGGGATATGCGATATTGTGGACCGATATAGCCCAGATCTGTGCAAAATTTTAGCTTCCTATCTTAATTCGTTTTGACAACAGACGGGTGGTCGGACAGGGCTAAATCGTCTTAGAATTTTACGCTGATATATATACTTCGTTGGGTTTAGTGTTATTATTTCGATGAGTTACAAACGCAATGACGAACTTAATATACCCTCCATACTATGTGTGTTGGAGAGTATTAAAAAATGACCGACAAAGCATCATGGGGCTCATTTCCAAATGTGGACATAATTCTTTCATATGACAATAATCCGTCCAATGGAACTCAAAATGCAAAATACATTGGGACAGCAATTAGTGAAATTCAGCATATGAATGACGCAAACTCGCTTTTGTTGGCTAGCTGGATTATCATATTTCCATTCTAAGTCAAAAAATTTTTTTTAACATTTCCAAGGAAAAGCAAGTAAGCAAAGGCTATAGTAGTGCGGGGCCGACCATGTGATACCCTACAACACTACAATATGTTAGAAGCCCTCTTACGTCCGAATCTATTTTGGAAAAAATTTTCTGTTTTCGGTTTATTTGAACCCCTAAATATTTTGCAATCATCTCAAATGCAAAAAAATGCAATAGGCTCCTCTGTATCTCCAATTTATACTCATCTATATGATTTGCTTGTATACGATATGCTGCTATATTCGTCAATGAAATCAGCATAAAAAAGCCAGAAGTTCGCCTTTTGTGTATTTCGGATATCGTCTGTAAGTAATGTTAGTATTTTTTCACACAAAAGTAGTGGTCCATACTACCCGCTGTCCTAAACTCTAACTTCATGTTCGTGTTCTTTGTTTTTACTTGTGACCTTTATAACGGCTGCAAAATGAGGAAAAATTTTAGTTGTTGGTCAATTTCAACCGCTAATAAGCGGACACTTCTGAGCCTAACCCTACCCTTGTGAAAATTTTCGTGAGGATCGGTCGATAATTGCAATCTGTATATAATAACTCCAAACTGTGTTGTAAGGTGAAAAAATATTATATTTTGTAATATTTATATTTTCAATATTATAAGTCAAATAAAAAATATGAAAAAATAAAAATGTCACAAAATACCACAAAATCTATATTAACATACTTATTGTTACCTTTTTATGCGATTTTTTTAGATTTTATTCTTTTATGTCAAGAGGGCATTCTAAATTGACAAAATTTGTCAAAATCGGTGAGATATAAGCATTCTAACTAACATCCCCTTCCTTTGTATATACACATTGTACATATTTCGCTATATATAACCGATATATTTACTATCGGCATCTACGTAACGGTCAGAATTCACCTGTTCGTCTATTTGTGATTTCGCCGGGTTAAAAAATATTCGCGGTTTAATAGAAAATTTGACTTTTATTTAACACAAATGTTGTGGCCTATTTCAACCACAAAATATTACTCGATGACCATCAAAATTTGAAGGCTTCTGCCCAGCCCTAAGCTCTAGCCCCATGCTAACTTCCACGTCGATTGGTCTATAATTGCGACCTATAGAGCAACTGCAAAATAAGGAATTTTTTCAGTTTTTGGTCCATTTCAACCCCTAAATATTATGCGATTATCTCCAGAAGAAATAGGGTTATATTCTGACCCTAGCCCCACTTCCATTCTAAATTTCGTGAAGATCGGGCCATAATTGCGACCTGTAGCGTGATTACAAATTAACATGGACAGACGGACGGACGGATATACATAGCTAGATCGACTCAGCTCGGCGAGCTAGGAAGATCCATATATACTTTCCTATGTGGGAAACCAATATTTCGTGGTGTTACATAATTTTTGGCCCAATCAAACTTATAATACCCCCAACAAATAGTGTTGTAGGGTATAAATATTCTATATCAAATGTTAGTGGAAGCTTCTGAACAGAAGAAATCTTTATACTTAATATGTAACATAAACAATTAAAGAAACAGCTAAGAAGCTTGAACATTTTCAAAGAATTCCGAAAAATACAGCTTAGATAAAAACTGCAATTTGGGGCCTATACGAAGACGTGGGCCTGTATATGAAATTTTTTGTCATTAAGATCTGCATACACGAAATTTGAAACAATTCCTGTGAATAATGTCGCTAATATTATCAAAATACCGAATAAAGGAAGGTACATTTAATTGACTGCTATGCGAAAGCGTTGACCTGCACACGATTTTTTTTCATAGGCTGTAGTACCCTTTGTCAACTTTAAATACGAAAATTGAAAAATTCCGGTGTATAATGTGGCTAAAATCATTACAATGCCAAACATCCGGAGGTACTGTTATATTGGGCCTGTACGAAACTTAACCTGTCTACTGGCAATACACACATGTGTGCAAAATTTTAGCCCTATATCTCAATTTGTTCGAAAGATAGAGTGATTACAAAAGACGGACAGACAGACAGAAGAATATCGTAAATTGACTTAGAAATTTACCCTGATCGAGAATATATAAACTTGGTAGGGTCTAGCATGAGTATTTCGAGGAGTTACAAACGGAATGACAATGTTATTATAACCTCCATAGAATGAAGCTTTAAAGGACAATATTAGTGAAATAATTTGTGCAATACAGCTGCGTACAAACAATAACATGCCTAAAAATTGGAGCGATCGTGTAGGCTACTGCATGGCTAGCCGAACCAGCCATTTGAATATAGTTATTTATCATAATAACCGGAAGGATTTTCAAATTCAACTCAATTCAAATAAAAAAGAATTGTAAGAAAATATTCACTGGATTTTCAAAGACCCTGTATATATTTAAAATAAACAACTAAAAAAATTGTGTTAAGTTCGGTCGGCCCTCCACTAATTGGAAAAAAGCTCATTTAAAAATATGTCTGTTAATGTCGAAATTCCAGCATTCGAGGGATATGCGTCATTCCTCTCATTAGGAACATACAATTCAAATAACTAGAATGTAATTTTTAAATTTTAAATAAAACACAGATAAAAACCAGTAAAGAAAGTCCTAAAGTCGAGCGGGCCGATTTTATGATACCCTACACCACTTTGCTAATTTAGTTGAGCTCCACATAACAATTAAAAGTTCTTACGGGAGAATTCAATCATACACCCTATGATTATAATTACAATTTAAAATTCAAAGGACTAAATATGCCGAAGCATTTGTATCCTTTATATTCGGACTTGTATTGCCCATTTGGTGCAAAATTAATTTGAAATCAGATTAAGATATATATGGGAGATATATCCAAATCTGCACCGATCTCAATAAAATTTGGCAAAGATATTTCTGAGCTGTCAAATTTGGCATACTACCTTCTGAACTCAATTCGGTCGTATGTGCCAAATTCCATCCCATTTGGACAAATTTGCACAATAAAGGCTAAATCGGAAGAAGTTATATATGAGAGCTATATCCAAATCTGAATCGATCTAGTTAACATATGGCAAAGATATTTCTGAGCTGCATTTGATATATTTCCCCAAATATTGTTGTTACAGAGTGCATATTGCGGCTGCGGAGGACAAAAATAACAAATCGGATGAACAATATATATGGGAGCTATAGCTATATCTGAACCGATTTAATCAAATTTGGCGTACTTATTTTCAGGCCTAATTTGGTTGTATGTGCAAAATTCCATACCATTCGGTCTGATATTATACGTTTGGTGCACAATAAAAGGCAAATCGGTCGAAGATATATATGGGAGCTATATCTAAATTTTTAGCGATTATCTCCAATTTCAATAGGGTTCGTCCTTGGGACAAACAAATGTTGTTTGGAAAATTTCATCCCAATCGGATAATAAATGCGACCTGCATTTTGTTCACAAGAATACATGGAAAGACGGACGGACTGACGTGCATAAATCAACTCAGAATGTGATTCTATGCAGATCATAAATATGAACTATGGGTCTATGTCGTTTCCTTTTGCCTGTTACAAACAAATGCACAAAGACGTAATACCCTGACCACCTTGTGGTGTAGGGTATAAATATCGTGAAAATTCATAATATCGTAAAGTAGACAGAATGTGGTTATGTATGGAATAAGCTTTGCCATGATCGATTTGCATTACCGTTTTGATGCAGGGTCCAATTTCCTCTTTTAAGGCTTGGGTCGTCGTCGGCTTATTCGCGTAAACCATCGACTTCAAAAACCCGCAAAGAAAAGAACCTAAGGGTGTTAAATCGCACGATTTAGGGGACCAATTTTGGTCTCCAAATCACAAAATATCGCAACCTGGAAATGACTAATGAAGCAATTGAATTGTTTCTCTGGCTGTATGACATGTTGCGCAGTCTTGTTGAAACCACATCCAGTCCACAATGAATTCTTCAATTCTAGAAATATAGTTATGTGGGCTATGTTCTGCAACAGCAAGTAGAACCCATTATGAACTCCAAATACCGAATTTGAAGCTATTCTGCTGGAAACTGTTACAAAAATCGTTAAAACACCAAGTATCGGGAAAGACAAAATGGGGGCTATACGAAAACGTTGACCGAGTTAGCTCTTCTTCGAACTTAACCAGACTGCATAGTGTTGGCCAACACAACAACACTATGCAAAATTTTAGCTTTTTATCACATGTCGTTTGGAATCAAGGGTGATTACAACAAACGGACGTACGGACGGGTATGACTAAATCGACTTAGAATTTTACTTGGTCAATAGTTCGTAGATAAAATCTTTACATTCCACATTACACTTCTTTAGCTTCTCTAGTTCAAAATCTTTAGAATCCACGCCTTTCCCTAGGTCAAAGTTTTTAAAAATCCACGCCATTCGTTTCAATAG